GTATACGCTTTTGAGAGGCAAATGTTGAGTTTCGTCGTATTATTTATATGAAGGGAGTGATAAACCGCTGCCACAACATTCATCGAAAACTTTTTACCGCACCGTTCGAAACATTCCAATAAACCATTCTCATACGGTAGGAATTCATTTTAAAGTGATTTTAGTTTATTAACGAAAATACACATGCTTCACAAGTAATATCGGGGAAGAGGGAGAGAGTAAACAAAAATATTTCATCTCATTCTTTTTTTTTTAACGAACTCGTTAATGTCTAATTAGGGTGAGCTTAAATCAGTTCAGAAACACACTTCAATTAGTTTTCTTGAATTTTATATATATTATAATACTAGGGGGTTGAAAAAATTTTCACCAACGACTTGTAGAGGTAAAAATGATAAACAAATGGGAAATATTAGGGTACATAACGATTAGATTCAATGATACTCTACTAACAGTTTTTCATCTAGTATTATTGATTTAGTCAGGATGGAGTATTCAAAATTCTTCTTCTTCCAAATTCATTACTGTTACCAAAGACCACCAAAACACGTTTACAGACTTGTGGTGATGCTGCTCCATCCTATCCCAATTGTCGGTTTTGTTTTGCACGATTTAAAAGTTGCGGCACGGCGGCGGAACTGACTGAAAATGCCATTTTTTGGTCACTTTTCCCAAGAGTTGTTCAAGATACACTGTTGCAGCTTGAATGGGAGGTTCTGCCACACCCAGCGCACTAAGCAGACACCAGGCGCCTACTAATTACCATTTTTCCAGATCGGGGCAGGATGCTTTGACTGACACGCGGGTCCACAAAATCGAAGAAGTGCAAAAATGTAATGATGGGTGGATTGCTGCCAAATCAATACAATTTCCGCCGACATGATATCGCCATGCTGGCAAAATTATTGTAAAATTTTTTTAGAAAATGATGGAAACTATTTTGATTAATATATATATATTTTATAAATTTTTAATAAACGCCTTCTTCAAATGAAAAAATGATCAAAACTTTTACAGCCCCCCCAATAGTAACTCTAAGCTCTCTTCAAATAACTTATTTGCCATTGAATCATGACACCATGACAAGAATAGTTATTAAAAGAATCCATTGAGACTGGCCATGAAGAAATATAAAACAGAAGAAATATGTTAAACTTCAGAATATTCTCGCATTTCTCGCTCGTAATAAATTGAGGAATGATATCGAAAATATCGGATAATATCGGATATTCGTGCAAGTCGAATACTTCATGTGGCTTCGAGTGCAGTCACGAGTGTACCAATGCTTAAAACTTTTGTAGTACTTTTTAAAGCTATTACTTGATCTATGCGTATCTGTAACGTATCTCAGATGCCACTCGGGTGACTTCGAATTCCAACTACCTGTAATAACAGTCTTATTGCTCTCAGAAGTTTTAATTCAATTCCATAGCCGATATTTTTTCAAGCTTTTCTAAACAAAAAAATTTTACCTATAATCGAAATCTCTTTCAACTGTTCAAGGCATAGTCATGTAGATCTGCACCGTATTTTTAGACCCTTATATCTCTTCATGCAGGAAAGCCGTTAATATTTTTCGCAGTCTATTTCTTCATCTTCATTTCGGCGGATGTTACGAATTACGATTATTGATATAAAGAGGAATAAAAACGTACCGTGAAGTTTGTTTTCGAATAGACGCAATGTTAAGGAATCTAGTTATATCAACTTAACCCTTCTTTGCATGATTTTTTCTATTTTTTTTAAATAAATCAGGGTGATGTAATTAATGCTCTAGATTAAAGGAAAAATATTTTAAAAAATCCTAGTGTAAATAAAAATATGTATTATGTAAAAAACAATATGATGGAAATTTAAATCATCATGCATTGCCACATATTTAGCTCAGTACTAAATAAATAAAAAAATACAGTTTACTCAATCTTCTTTATTCTTTATGATAATTTAAAAAACAATTATTATTCTTATTTAAGCACAAATTGACGCCACATTTATTACACGAAATTGTAGAATAGCCTTTACATTTGGGAAACTTGCACCGGAGTGACCCATCTACTTTTGGCCAATGTTCAGCACCATCTTTTCTTATGCCTTTTGGAGGTGGTGGAGCTGGAGAACCATTTCTTTTTTTTTGATTGTAATTCTTCTTCTAGTACACTGGTACTAGGACGCCCTCTTTTAGCTTCTTTGGTGGTTCCTCTGTTGCATAGCACAAAGGCCAATTCATTTCTGAATTGGCCCATTGTAAGCAGACTCTTTTTAGGTTCACCTCTTTCTTGAGCATTTTTTTTATAAACAATCCAGGAGTTTATAATAGCTAGATCAAATAGATGAAAAAAAATACGCAAATACCAATTTTTCGACCTCATTTTTATATGATTTCTGCCCAAAAAGCTATCCATGAGATCTACTCCTCCCATATGTTTATTGTACTCTTGGACAATAAACGGGCAAGTAATATCAATTTTTCCTTTTTTTATCCTGTCAAATTGATTCATTGTCACTGTGACAAACCTCTCATTGAGATGCTTGATAACAGGGCGGATTTTATAAAGCCTGTCATGTTCTGGATGACCTATAGGTTTGGGAAGATCATTGTTATTAAAATGTAATGATAACTTTATTTTCTCAAACTTGTTCAGTGGCATTGTTGAAGAAATGGGCTCATATCCAAACTTTGGCGACCAGTATGATCTTGTGCTGGGAAATTTGATTACTGACATGTATAATAATATACCAAAGAACTTATACAAATCATATTCTGTAAATGTTATAGATGAACTGGGATTACTCTGTATTATATATAAATTTGTCTCCTCTACTAATGTTTTGATAAAATCTTCAGTGATAAAATGGTTAAAACATTGATATGGAGTTTCTAGGTGTGATAGACCACCTGAAGCAGTAGAACTCCCCAAGAAAGTAATTTTATCTGTGTCATACACCAGATTCCTTTTTTTCCAAATCAAGTTTCTTTTGTCAAATGGAAAACTGGATGAAAACTGCAAATTGGATGAAGTTGATGGGTGAGAGGGTTCTTGATCTTCTGGTTCTACAAGAGGGTGGATCAATGTCAGCAGTTTCATACACATCATCATCATCGTTCTCCTCCTGCAACACTCTTATAATTTCATCAGCATCGCAGTTTTCATCATCGGAATCGTGGTCATCAAGGCCATCTTCTGAGAGCCAACCGCCTTCTAACTTACTAAGATAATCTTCAATATCTCTTTCATTCAAGTTTCCCCAATAAACATTTACAAAAAAATGTTTGCCATACATTACAAGTAAAGTTACTGCATAGTGATGTAAATTTCCATCACATAATTTTGAGAAATTTATTCACAGTGTTTTAATATAAATTGTACATAAAATAACAAAAACATGAAAACAAACCTTTTTTCCACTCATTTTCACTTTTATTGTATTTTATATCTCCGTTTATTTCCATAAAACAATTTAAAATCTCGCTCCTTTCTTCCAGTCACAACAAACAGCGGAATGACAAGTTCTAGGCCTGATAATTCACAGTGACGTTTGCTATTTTTTGACAACTGCGTTTTGTTGTACGCAATAGTCGCTTAAAAAGTTGCCGCCAACAACAAATTTACAGTACAAGGGTTTTGAGTACCATTATTTTGTTGACTAAACATTATGATTGAAATTTCCATCAGCATGCAAAGAAGGGTTAAATTTTCACTTATTAATTGTTGTTGTTTTAGTGGTTTTTTCTACGTCGAATTACTATTATGAACCAAGTTTTACAATAAAATATTGAAAATTAGATCTTTTGACCGTACGAAGGTTGAGCTGCGGCAGTAACGGCGCTGTGGGGGAAGATTGAAAAAATTGCCAAATTCGAATCAAACATTTCACATTAATTTAGAATGCCGAAATCTGGAATTTTTGTCGAGGAATTTTGAAAATTTCGACTATTTGGAATATACGGACTTTTCAAAATAATATGTTATATCTGCAGTCTGGATCGTAAAAATGCTCCGATCCAATCGATTCTGACTAGGGTTTGTTCCCTGACCAAAACACATCAGTATATCAAATTCAGTCAAGACAATTGAAAAATGACGACCTGTGGCTCAAACATAATTGTTCATGGACGGACATCGCGCGCACAGACGGGCAGGCAAGCAATAAAACGAAATGTTTAACTTAAATCTCTGTGTGTTTGCGGATTCAAATCCCACTACGATACAGTTTACTTTAGTCGCAGTTGTAGTGAATACTCAGTCTAGGTGAAGACATAACACTTACCGAATGGACACACACTCACTAGGCTGCGCCCGCTTCCTTATCTCTTTCTCTTTCCCCCCTTCGTTCCAAACGTCATCGAATCGGGGACATGCCCTCAATGATTGGTCATAAAATAATAATTAAAAAAAATGTATTTATATATGTAACTATTTCACTGGCTAAATTTACAGATAGAAAAGATACAAATTGCGATTTTGTAGACTTGAAAAGAAGATTTTCTTCGTTTTTATTTAAGGATATATGTTGCTTTTTATATAGTTTTCTTAACATAATACAAGATGCCGTTTCATTCAATCTGGATAAGTGATTGATTGAAAGAAAAAGATAAACTAATTATTTATTTATATATATACATATATATATATATATATATATATATATATATTTATATAATATATATGTATATTTGGGGAGAGGATGGTATACATATTGACTTTCTTGATGTTGTTACATTGACACTTTTATCTCTTATACATATTTTCCCGTAAGCATTTAATAAAGTATTTTTGACATTTTTTTTTTTTTTCGTTTTTCTAGCATTACTTAACTATGTACTAAAAATATTTTATAATATTGTTGTAATATTCAAAATGGAAATTTATTTATTAATAAGGTTTTGTTCTTACGAAGCGAAAGAAGTGGGTAAAAAAAAAAAAAGATTTATTATTAAAATTAGAAAAAAAAAAAAAAATTGAAAAGGTTTTTAAGGTTTTTCATTCTTTTCCTTCTTTTTTTTAACAACAAAAGAAAAACTTGAAAATAAATTATTTTGGAAAACTTTAAAGAAAATTTGGAAAATAAGCTCACTTAATAAAATAGGGGTAAATGCTATCAGTAACCATATTTAGACATAACGTCGTTGGCCAAAGCACTTAAACGGCCTGCAACTTTGTGAACACCTTGGCGTACACTTTCCTTAACATCATCTAAATCAGGCGCTTGGAAATTCACACCAGTATTATAACCTGTAAGGGATTAATTGTAAATGTCTTTGTTTTTTAAATGTATGCAATCGAAAATTGCTTACCTCTTGATGAGCGACCTGTTGTATTACTTTCACCAAAATAGTCAGCCGATGATATGGAATTTGATCCTTGAAATCTTGATAAATTTGCACCAACATCTTCTTGCGTTGTTTCATGACCGAAAAACTGATCTGAACCGAAACCTTTAGATGTTCCAAATTTCCTCTGGGCCAAATTATCATCATTTACATCTGAACGTTTAATGGGAGTGTTGTTAGCTTTACGTGTATAACTCTCATAACTGGTGGTCGTTTTCGTTGATTTATTTGTATTGGCTACGGAAGTTGTTCCTTTATGTTTCTTATCACCACAATCGCCGCCGCCGAACATTGAAGTTATATTTGTATGAGTAGAACCTATCGGCTCAATAGCTTCAAATCCCATAGTTTCCAATTCTTGTTTATCCGTTTTATTGTTATTGCCACCAAAAGATGAAGCAGTGCCACCCCCACTACCACCACTTCCACCGTACATTGTAGGTGAATAATCATTGAAAAAACTTTCGCTATCAAATGCCGCCAGCTTAGACATAGACGAACTACTGCCTGACGTGGCCTTCGGAGCAGGAGCTTGTTGTATTGTCTCCATATCGCTCAAAACGGAGTGCGATATGTCAGCACTGAAATCAAAAATAATTGTTCACATTATATATATATGCCGAATTAACATTGGCATGAAGTATCCGCCAAAGACGAAGAGACATATACTTAATTTAACCTATATCTAATTAAATAAGGTACCAAACTATTTGAAGATCTCAGAGAATCGAAACAACGTTTACATCGATTATATTGTAAATGGGTTGGAGACTAGTATTTTTCTTTTATTTGATGCCAACAAGGGAAATTTGAAAGTATGTGCGACTGGGACACTACCATAACGATAATAAATAAACAATTGTTGCTTACACCCAAATGTAGATTTATTTATTTACTTATTTATTTGCCCATAGATTTACTTCTTTATTTTTTTGTAGATTTATTAATTTATTTTTTATGATCGTCGAAATGAAGAGAAGAGAGAGAAATTGAGAGGTAATGGCCGTCGCCCAATGGGCACTGACCAATCGGTAAATACCTTTATCGACTAGGCAGTCACAGGCACAGCAGCGACTAAATGATACGCCACCGAATTTGAGATTTGAGCGCGCAAACACTAGCTTTGTAGTCGACTACTCAGTTGGATTAGATGAAACAGGGTAATAGAATAAGTTAAATCGTGAAGAAAATATTTGCCAGGAGCGCGTTTCAGTTGGAGAATAGCTATAAGTAACTTATAAATATCACAATAGACAAAGAAAAAGTGCAACTTACAGCTTAAGCCAAAGATTGAAATAGGTAACGAAGGCCGACTAAAAAGCTGGTCTGATATAAGTTTCAATCGACCACAAAATACTTTTAAATTTTAATGTCGAGATGGAAAAGGAGGATTTACCCTAAGACGGGTAAATAACTGTTCGTCTTTTTTATCCCTATTGCAGAAAGGTAAAAACTTTAAATTCCTATCTATCGACATTAGAAACTGTCCTCTATTTCCCCGAACTGGCAAAGCTATTAAGTCCATGGTAAAGTAAACCATGCGTACTCCCTTTTAATTGCAGAATTATTTAGATTCATTTCAAAGAGTTACCGCATTTACTACACCTGAATCAAACGAAACGACATTGAATGGGATAAGGAATCGAAGAAATTCGAAAAAAAAATAAATTCTCTTTTTAATCTGCTTTGTTTTAATTTAAATTACGTTTAAATTTTAATTACGTGTGCACCCGTTCTTCGTTATTCATTACTTGAGATAGAGGAATACAGTCGGAAAATAATCGAGCATCAGCATCAGCATCAAATACTGGATCGACTTGTCGAGTATGTCCGTCTATTCATCCGCCTGTCTGTCCGTGTAATGTCCGTGGTAAACATTCTCGTGGTCGCAAAAGGGAAGCCGTCAAATACTGAAAATTTCTATACACAGGTTGGTTGGTTGAATCGGGACCAAAGGAGGCACCTAAAGTACAACATTAACTAAGGTCATCTGTGGGTTAAAAATTTAAAAAAGTTTGCCTTTTAGAATGCTTTGCTCTATTTAAAAATGATCACACGTACATTTAATTACGATGAAAAAGATCAAGAGCTGGAAGTGTACCGCAGGTGAATAATAATGTCCATAATCCGACTTTAATAGTCGTTTAATCGAGGCCATAGATTTATTTAACCTAACATATAACAAACCAGGTATGTTATTATTCGAAAAGAGCACCTCTGTTGGTGAAGTTTAGACTAAAAGTCTATTCGAAGAAAATATTTATATCGTTTTCATTTCCTTTCCTGACTTGTAACTAGCGGCACAAATGATTTTAACTATGTCTAAGCTATATCTGAGGAGACTAAGCCCATTTATTCAATCCGGCGAGCAGCTTTTTTTGAATAGTTACATGCAAGCACTTACAACAATAACATTGTTATATGATTGTAAAATTAAAGCAATTACAGTCACATTACCACTTGGACTCCTTAATCCGTGTACGTTCTTTTAAATCTCAAGATATTTTCACGCTTTCAACCTTTCTCTTCGAACGGAAAAATTAACGGGCTGATGAGTTCTTAAGGAAAATTCCCTAGGTAATAAGGGGAAATGGATTAGAAGACCGTTAAAAGAAACGTGAAGGAAACACATTGAAAAATGTAGTTTTTTTAACTTCTTAATTTACGTGACTCCATTGGTGAAGTAAAAGGAACCTCATGATGGCCTAATATACTAATTTTCGTTCTGTTACGATTATTATGAATGGCGAGTTTGTAGTAAGATAAGATAGGTAGCACGTTTTCTAAATTTACCACTTACCCTTTTAAGTTAAAACCCATACCCAAACGTTCCATTTGTTTAGCCTTCAACGGATCTATAGTTTTTAATTTAGCTTCCTCACGGTTTTTCTGCAATGATAAATCCTGGTAGGCTAAACGCATGCTAGCTACGGATTCTAGTTCCTCCTCGGTTGTCATTGGCTTTTCGGGTATTATCAAAGAAATACCATCTTTTATTTGATTGGCCATGTTAGCACGTTGTTCAATTTCCGCAAAGTTCGTCTTCACCTTGGTAGCTCCCAAACCGCCTGCCTTACGTGCACCTAACTAATTTAGCGAACGCGAAATAAAAAATTCCATGAAAAAAATTGCATTTAAACAAATGTCCTTAAAATGAATAATTTTACCCCGGATTTTTTTGGTTGTATTTTGCGTACGCCGATCGAGGGAATTAATGTATTGGGTGTAATAGTCGCATTTAATAATTCCACACTAGGGGCACCCAAGCAAGGCTCAATTTTCGACTTTTCGGAAGCTAAGGTTGGCAGAGGTATTTCCAGCTGAAAACAGAAAAGTAAAATTGAAGGAACCATTAAGAAATCAATCTAAATAAAGAGTTTAAACGAAAAGAGGCTAAGAAACTGGAAGCTTTTTTACGAAAACCAACATGCGTACACATGGGCAAAGCTTACCTTATTGCTGTTCACGTTATTGTTGTCATTTACAAAGTCCGAATTATTATCAATTTGTTGGCAGTCACCAAAAAAATCGTCTTCTTTATCATTATTATCGTTATGTTCAGTTCGATCGACGGGATTATCCAAATGAAGCTATTTAAATGCGTTATTAAAACATTAAGGCTTTAAACGAACAAATTTTAGTGAACACCACAAGGAATGCAAATTTAAACTCTCAACCAAGCAATTAATACTAATAATTAAGAAACTTTTAATAATGACATGACAATCAACCAACCTTTGTGCCATGTATTTTCATGGCTTGCTGGGCTTGAACAGCCAGTTTATCACGATACAATTGCGCAGCACGAGAATTATACTTTTGCTGAGCATCCGTTGTCGAACAATTGTGTTGACGGAAAAATTGTGCAGCATTGGCATTCCCACCCATTTGCATTTGCCTCAATTGAAGCCATGTCCAATTTGTATCTAGATTTGTGGAACGTACAAAAGTCAAATGGACACCCAAACTACGATGTACAGCCGAACAATCAATGCAGATAAATACACCATAGGTCACCGAAGACCATGTGGGTGTTTTAGCACCACAATCAAAGCAGCACTGAAATCATTAAAGGATTGAAATTATTTTAAAAATTCTACGAGATCAACATTTTTCATTGAAAACGACATAATATTTCAATACAATTCACTTAGGTATTGTTCTCTCTTAGGACTATAAAGAAACATGTCATCTTTTTTTTTTTTTTTGTTATAAACTTTAATTAATTGCAATTGATTAGTAATTTTTATGAAAATGTCTTACCTTATTGGCTGGTTGTGTACGTAAACGATTAAATATCGTCTCAATTTCTTGCTTGGTCGGCGGTCCCTGTGTCTTATTTGCCATTATTTTCTCGAATTTTTTTTCCTTCGGAATTTCGTTATTGTTCTTCCTGAAATACCACTTAGCCAAAAACACACCCGCTCGTGCTTGAAATTCTCCTGCGGACTTTCCTTGATGAAACTATTTTATAAATCTTTTTAAGCTTACCCTTTATTCCCGATTTAAATATATGTAATTTTATTAGTTAAGAGTCGTTTATTAAAATTACGATTTTTTTTTCTTTCTTTATGATAAAGTTGACTTTTGACGTGTTTTCGTCCACGTTCACTAAAAGTTGTTGCCACACACTTTCAATGAATAAAATATATTGCATGAAATTTATTAAGAGCGTGAAATTTTTTATTCTAATAATTTGCTCGAAATCAAGTGATTTCAAGTCATATCTTGATGATTTTATATAATTTTTTTGTATAAAAAATGTCAAACATATTATGATCTATTTGACCATTCCTTTGAAATCCTGAATAATTACTTTATACAAAACTTATTTCAATATCCGTGAAAAAGGCAGCCCTGGAATTCGTTTCATTTGTGTATTCGCTATCAATAAACAGGGTAGACAAGTTTCTTCACTATTTATTTATTTTTATTATATTTATTTCCGCTTACAGATACAGGATAAAATTATTAAGTCAGGTACAAATCTATTGGCTTAGTCCATCTCCATTCAACACACCAAAAAAAAAAAAAAAAAAAAAAATTAAGTCAGGTCAGTTATTCGCTTATCTGCTTTTTGGTGAACTTTTCCAGGCTCAGAGGGTCTCACCTATACGCGCGGGTACAACAGTGATTAGAAAAGGTTATAGGAATGCTGGGATGAAAAAAGGGAGTAGGGTTTGTGAACGTTCAAGTTAAAAATGGAGACACCAGGTAAGGCAGGGACGATCGTTGCTGGTACGTTGTTCCATAAAAACGACGAGTCGTGGTAGTGTGCGTACAGGTAACTTCAGGACGAGTGAGTGAAAATGCAGACGAAGACGTATAGTTCTGTAGGATTGAATTTGTGGCCATGGATGCACTTACTTGTACATAAGCGCAATACAGCTTACATTGCGCCTATACTCATGGGTATCGAAAGTTCAAGACCATGAGCGTCCGAGCACTTCACTGCATGCGGATGAGGACCTTCAAGCAAAGATTGTAGGCATCCGCCTCTTGACCTGTGCGGGTGTTGAACTTGCCAGGAACCTTTTTAACGGCCCTCGTCCGAAAGAATAATGCAGACATGGCGGCATTGATTGATTGCGATATGATAAGTTGGAGTTAGAGGCACACATTTCAACCAACACGTATCAACCAAGTTAGATATTGTTTGGTCATTATTGAGCAGAATCGAAATCGATGCGATAGATTGGTTTCCAATTTTTCTCACAAAAAACCAAAAGCTTTTGCCTCTTGCTAATGCGAGATGCGAAAACTCCATTATTAGAAGAAGAAATATTTGAAAGCGTTAAAGAATCCCGCTTTAATTTGGCTATGAAACATTCACATTGCACCAGTAATGCGCTGTAAGTTATGCGTTTAACTAAACACGTACAATCAAATTATATATTAACAGCTGGTGAGTGATGCACGATACAAACCTAGTCATTGTGGTAAGTTATTTGATCATGAAATGGAAATAGTTATGAACGAAAGCATATATGTGTTGTGCCCATTTTTTTGTGAAAGCAACGACGGACTCAAATTTATTAAAAGCAATTTGCTTGTGAGAATAAACAAAAAGCGGTCTCTCTTAAATGATGTTTTGATTGATGATTTTACAAATATTTAAGAAATTTTAGCTCTTGCACTTCGTACAACATCTTTTTCTTTCGCTTTATATTTCAAGACAAATCTTAATCTCAAAAAATTTGGGTAACTTTCCGGCAAAACAATATGAAAAACAAAATTATTGAAATAGCAAAAGGCAACACTGCTGCATTTGCCCAGTCGAAGTTCGTGGCTATTCTTTTTTTAAATAAAATATGTGTCAGAACTTGTGTTCTCTTTTTTACGTGCATTTAAACAAATGAGGGCAAGCAACTAGTTTGCTTCCTATCGCTTTCGCCAATTTCTTCTCCTTGCAAAATCATACATAAATAAGTAGGTTATTTACAGTATTAATTATCAAAATGAGATCTTTCGCTTACCTTTGAGTTAAACATAAAAATTGTGATGTCGGCAGTTGATCGTTTCATTGTCTATTTTAATATATGGTAGTTGGTTTTACTCTTCCTAAAATTATAAAAAGAGAGTGTAAGTGATACCGGCAACGGCGCTCGTAAAAAAAAGCTATTGTTGGGAGAAGATTCGTGAATTTCGCAAAAGGGTTCGCAATTAAATTACGTCTGTTAAACGAAAGAAAAAAAGCTTATCCACGTGTAACAGGAAAACTTCAAAGTCTACAATTCGTAAACGTTAAAGAGTAAAACGAAACGATGATGAAAAACATTGTAGACGTCTTGTCCTTGCAAAACCGTGTCCAAGAAACTAAGATACAGAAAACTAAACCCACGGATTATCGAAAAATTGATAAAATCGGGATAGTAGCTCGATTTTTATTTGAATGTGCTATTAAATTGGAAATAAAACCGTTAACCTCAGCTTGTGCGGCTATAATATATCACCGTTTCTTCAAAGAAGTCAATACGTCAGACTACGACGAATATCTAATAGCCGCATCGTCTTTATACATGGCGGGTAAAATTCAAGATGATCCGGTAAAAATACGAGATGTTATAAACGTGGCTCATTGCACCTTGAATCGTGGGGCTTCTCCATTGGAATTAGGCGATGAGTATTGGTCTATGCGTGATGCTATTGTGCAAGCTGAGCTTTTAATTGCTCGCACTTTGAAATTTGACTTAAATTTCGAACATCCACATAAATTTTTGCTTTACTATATGAAAACTTTACAAGACTGGCTCGGTTCGACTATATGGAATTCAGTGCCCATAGCCAAGACGGCTGCATCGTTTCTGCAAGATTTTCATCATAGTGAAAAAATATTAAATCATAAACCCACACACATTGCCATATGCTGTCTATCATTGGCTTTGCAAACATATGGTGTTCAGGTACCGTTAACGGATGAATCCGAAGAATCTTCAATGTGGTATACTCCATTTGTTCCAGACATAACTAAAGATAAGCATTGGGAAATTATTGAGGATATAATTGAGGTATATAAACGGGAATCCGAAATCGATAATATGTAATATGTATATATATATATATATATATGTATATTGCATTTAATGCACCAGTAAAAAGTATATTTCAGAGACCATCAAAAAGGTTGTGACTTTTTCTTTCGGTATTTTATACTGCTTTTTTGCAAGCAAAGCATTTCATGTCTTTAGAAATATTCGTGCTATAGTTTCAACTATTCTCCTTATTATATTTTTGTAATCACGCCTTAAAATAAAATAAACAATTTACTAAATAAACACAAATAAATTGAAACGTTACCTCCACTTGATATTTTTTATACAAAAAGTTATTTATTACCGTAATTTAGCATAAGCGAACGTATAAAATTCTCACAAATGATCAATAAAAATATACAGTGTTAATATAGTTGATATTAATAAAATATTATGGAAATCCGAAAAATAAAGGGTTTTAAGCGAGTTCAATTGGAACTGAATTGGTGGGAAAAATGTGCCGTTCATTGTGTTCAAGAACGCGAAATATCGCAACATGGAGTCCCTGCAGACGCGTAAGACGACCCCATAAAAGGTGCTTATGCATTACGCGATCGACAAAAGCTATAAGCTAATTCATTCGTAAATGGCATTTCGATTTTTTGTCTTCGAAATACTCAAAGTGACATAAATGTAGCTGGCTTGATTAATGGCTAACCCAAGATTGAAAATTGGATTGAATTTGAAGCGAAGAATAACTAGAAATTTACAGCTAGAGCAAACAAATATCGAAATTTATAATTGATTGACTAAAATCAACAAACGCCGCACAATATAGAAGAGATCATCAGTGCGAGGTAATCAAAAATAGTAATGACAATCGAAAAAGGTAAATCAGAAATAATATCCACAATAAACGCGTGCATAGTTTAAATATTTGCAATTTTGATACATATGGTTATATGGTGGTTGTGAAAACTTTTAACTAACTTTTCTATTCAGCCCAGTTACTGTAGCTATACTTTCCTTATCTTCGAATAAAATCAAGCGGACGAAAGTCAAATTTAGAAGCAATGCTTGACTTAGAAGGTCACGGTTACTGGGCGATGCTGAAGAAAACATTTCTCTTAGATCTGCTGGAAACTGCACGTTATTACGTATTGTTAAAAAATCTTTGCTATCTCTGTGAAGTTCGTCTACATTGTAATAAGTACGCATCATATTAATTACAGTTTTCTCTGAGGATACTCTCTCCGTGCCTACTAGGTAATTAAAGAGACGAGCTGATAAAAACCTACGCATATAAAAAACATTTGTTAAAGTTAAAGGATTTTTGCTGTCATCGCTGCGAACATCGCCCCAGTTTAATTGATTTCGTAACGCTAAAGCTAAGCCCATCATTGCTATTATTTGAGCCTTTTGTATGTTAACATTTTTTTGCTCAACATTGCTAGGTTTATTGCTAGCTTGGACACTTGGAGGATTTTCAAGAATATAACAATCACCTGTCGGTATCAAGTGATTAGCGTACAAACATCTTTGCACCAATTCACTTAAATGTAATTTCTTTTCAACGACATCATGTTGTTGCCAATGTGTTAATACGGTGGGTGTTTCTGTACGGACCGGTGGCAATTCTAGGCGGGCCCATGCTAAGTGATTAATACCAATTCTTACCGCGACGCAGGATTTGATATTTAATCGTTGTATAATATCCATTTTCGGTGTTATAAAAGATTTCGAAAGTTTTAAAGAGTACTTAGACTTACGCATCTCAGCGTCTTTTTCATTTAGAAGACTTTGATAAAATTTAATAACACTTTTTGCACCAAAGCCCTCTATATTTAAGATATCATTTAAATCTTTTAATGCGCCATTTTGCTTCAGCCAAGAAATCAATTTGTTAGCTCGAACTTTAGAAATGTCGTAACTGTAAATAATTTAGACTATCAAATTTATGTATAAATTTTCCTATTGGATTCGAATACCTTAACAAATCATCTATATTACCATTATTTATAATTTTTAATATTTTCTCCTTTTCCTCGTCCGTATATTTTACATTCTGATTGGCTTTACTTGCACCGTTAGGAGTTAATTTAGTTTCGTCTATGTTTTCCAGATTTCCTTTAGTTGCTGTACTCACAGCGCTACGCAGAACATTTAAAGCTCGCGTTCTTAAGCATTGCATGTTTTTTAACATTTTTAATTGAAACTCGATAAAAAAGATATATTAACAATTTTAAAATTCACCGTTTTTATAAAATTGAAAAAGTCCGTGAATGAAATTACAAATCAAAAACAACTAACTGAGCATTGTGGAATGCTTCAAGAATGAAATGCTTTGTATTGTTATTTAATTTAACGTAACACCTATTGTTTTAATTTTAACAATCGTTACACGAAAATGAATGAAAGGAAGCAAAAAAAATAATCTTTTTAAACTATTAAGCATATCATTCCGTAATATTTTTAACACCTCGATTACTTTCATTTTGTAGAAAATACATATGAAATCGTCTTTGTTTCTAATCAATAAATGTAATGATCCGCGGTGAGTGTTGTTATTTTCCACTACATACAGTATTAGAAATATTGTTTATTATAAGATGGAACATTTCGCTAGCAACATTCATGCAACAAATGCTATGAGTATAAGAAAATGAAAATCATGAATTTTATTATTATTATTAATTTCGCCAGAGAAGTAAATTCTAAGATTAAACTCTTAAAGCACTAGCATCTAAGGCTATCGGCTTTTATTAAAAACTCTACCGCACTTGAGATTCGAATCCACGACTATTGAGTTGCTGTTCGGGATTCCTTGCCTTCGGCCACTCAGACAGAATGAATTTTATAAATTTCAAAATTGTTTATATAAAATATATTTCATCTGAGTGGCCGAATCGGCTGAAAGTATCGACTAGTAACTCTCAATGGTCGTGTATTCGTTGTGTGTAAAAAAAAATAGTTCTGAAAATAAATTAAAAAGAGGAAGTGAACATAAATTTGCAGATAATTAATGTCCGATTGATGTGTTATAACAAACGAAAGCAATATTTGCAATTTCCTTCATTACTATTTACAATGTGTGCGTAATCAGTTTTTGTTTTTTCATTTAACTCACAAGCCCTTTAAACAAAGTCCTTAAGTTTCATATGAAGAAGACTATTCTTCTTTCAATCAGTGACAGAAGTCATGTATGTCATAACACATGTGCGACATACGTTTTGCAAGCAAAGCTTGGAGCAAAGTTTCTTTGAAAGTTGGATTTGAATTGCGGCAAAACTGCGCATGCTAGCGCGATTACAAAGAAGCAAAAAATCCTAAAGTTATTGTGCGAATTTGTTAGTGAACGTCTGTATTTATCGATTGCATTCGCCTTATGGGCAATTTTACACCAACATTTTAGTGGGACTACATACGTTACGTACGTTAATTCAAGCTTCTCCAATGGGACTATCAACATCACAGATAAACAGTACATTATAATTGTTTAATTTTTTATTCTATTCTTTTGTTGCTTAAAAATGTTTTAAATTTCTGTTAATTTAACGTATGTCGCGAATTTACTTTCGTCGATGGTCTACATTTGGAAAGTTTATGGATGAGTTCTATTTTAATTTTATTAATTAAAAATTGTCATTTATTAATAATTTAAATATTCTATCAATAATTCTTCTTATTTAATTAAATAATTATAATGTTTATAAAATAAGTTTGCATTGATTTGAACCTGACTGGTGAGGTGAGTCAACACATGCACTTACAACTTCCACATTAGTTTCAAAAATTCTATAAAAGTTCTAAAGGGCAAATTTTCGTTGTTGCTCCTCTTCCCATTTTCGGCGTGCTAGTCTAAAATTTCTTTCTGAACTGTTAGGGTATGCTACATACATACAATTATATCAATATTAATACATTAAATTTCTTTATCAGACATGGGAATAGAAACGTGGCCTCAATGTATAAGAGCTGTTCGCGTTCACTTCTTTAAATGTATTCAATTTTAATTCGCAGACCTGACAATCAAGCGCGAGTTCATTATGGTTTCTCATGTTCGTTGATTTCAAGCATCTCAAAGTACGGTAAGCGTTCAAAGAGTTTAATGTGGTTTACTTCAGTCAGCATAAAGCGAAAATGTGTCAGTATGGCAGCTCACAACTTCCAATGCTGTCAAATCTCATGCTAATATGTCGAGTACGAGTATTTTCGAGATTGGTTGCACCGAAAACAGAATTTAAGGCGTTTTATTATGTGATAAAAACGCGATTTTTTGCTTCCCTTTACCTTAAATCAGGGCAATGCTCGAAAATGTTTAAATAAGCAAAAATAGTTTGATGTAAAAGCTACGTGGTTATCTATTTCAAGGAGAATAATGTGATTTTTCGATTTATGCAAGTGTGCCGTATATGAGATTGCTACAGCGGCTTTGAATATCTTTGTTATTTCAGAAGTCGTGAATTTGCATTCAATGTGGCACAAGCGAATGCAAACTGTAGACATTTTCCGAAAAATAACAAAAAATTAATTTAAAATTTAAAATAGCGTTGAATTCACATCTATAGGCACCACTGTCGCTATTGTCACCTTCGTTGGCGAGTATATATATGAGTGCATACATATGGCCGTCAGCTGGTTTTCTCATAACAGAAAGCGAGTGTTTTTGTTACATACACAGCAAATCACTGTTTTGTATTTTGTAAGAATTTATGATGTTTGGTTACTGTAGTTGGGTGAGTGGATATGTATATATATATGTATATATATATATATATATATATATATATATATATATATACATACATATATATTTCGTTACATTTATTAAGCAACGTGGGTAAAGAAGATTTGAAATTTATTTGCAAAATATATAAATAAAATAAATAAATTAAAAATTATTAAATTATGTTACAAAAAAAGAAAAACGCCGAATTTTGACCACGTTGAGATATGAAATTAAATTATTTAAAGTCACAACAACAAAGAAAAAAAGTAAAGCAAATATGTCATCGGTAATAGAATTCCAAGAGAGTGAAAAGAAAGTGAAAAAGGTCAAACGGTGTTTATTAATATATTTGTGTGTATTATGTGTGCATGTCAATGAAGAACAATAAGAATTATGAAAGAAAAGAAATCGAAATTTCAATAAGATTGTTGTTAAAAATGAAAGCTCTACTTGATTTTGAAAATGAAATGAAAACCCTTATTATGAAAAGCAAACGAAAATGTTTTAATTTTTTTGTGTGATTGTTTTATATCCTAATATAATATATATAATTTTATTCTTTACAAAAAAAAAAAAAAAAAACAAAAAGAAAAAGAGAAGCGGGCTTAGAGAATACTTTATTGAAAAAAAATTTTAAAGGAAAAAAATAACTTGCTCGCGCACAAAGGATAGATGCAGCGGTGCGTTGCACTCCCCTTTATTGTCATTTGATGCCAAAAATAGAGTTTTTTATAGATGTGTCAGTGTTATATATCTGTATAATAAACACCTATATACATACATACAAGACAAGAGAAATGTCTCTCATTAGCATCAAAATTAGCGATTATTTCTACCATTTACAAAATAGCATAACATTTACTTTCTTTTTTCTTCGCCGCATATGGATACGAGAAATACGTAGAAAAATCATAAGCGCAACTTGCCTTTTAGAGACGATATCAAACATTTGGAAAGGGAAATGTTTAGCAAAGACTAGATTTAGTTTATGCAGTGGTTATCTACAAAATGGGCTTTTTATATAAACAAAATATTTATAAATATATATAGAAATTTCTAGTCGTTATGCAGATCATGCTTTTAAGGATTTTCCCCAACTATTAAAAAAGGTTTTTTGTCAATTTTTTTTTTTTTTGGTTTATGTCCGGGGATCGATTATACTTCTGTAGAGATAGAGAATATGTTTCTGAATAACACGCAGTTTGCGCGTCAAATGAACAAGTGCTCCATGATTATTAATTTCTTTTTTTTTGGAATAATTTTTAAAAAATACGCAATACTTTCCGTGTATCTATATTTTATAGGTTTTTTTTTCGGATTATAATTAAGAGTCAATGCTCTCGAGGATTTCGATATAAATGTAATAATAAAAAAAAAAAAAAGAGAAAATGGTTAATTATAACTTTTCCATCTATCGACTGTAATAATAAACGTTTTGAAGTAAAAATTTCTTTACTTCTTGCTTTCAATAAATTTCGAAATTGTGCTTTAACGCCAACATATTGATCGTTTTATATGATGAGTGCTTCGACTACTTCGTACACTTTTAATCGTGTCCCATGTGTCCCATCTTTGGATACTATACAAAAATCTTTGCTCTACCATAGTACCAATAATAACAATAATCACAATAATAATAACAACAACAACAATATTGTTACTTCTGCCACTTATTATCACTTTCCGCAAGATATAAATACCGATTATGCTCTACTATCGCAGCCTAAAACCACGTTAACCTCTGAGGAGACATTACTGCTAGAGAAAGCGTTACGAACACATCACCATAATGGTCGCTCCAATATGGGTATATTAATGCATAAGAGCAATAGTTACAGCGGTGGCATCATTAAGCCCAAATCCACTATTCTAAAACAGGACAGTATTAATGGTCGTGTTAATACCAGTCTTACTACAGACAGTGTCAGCGAATATAGTGGAATGGTTTTAATGCCAAAAACAAGTTGCTCAACACCAGGTGCATGTACGAATATATTAACGCTGAATAGTCAATGTTTGAATGAAACTTCCAGCGAATGTGATGCGTTCCTGATGGATTCCAATACCAAAGAAGTGACAATTGTCAAATGTGCGAATAATCGTCGTTTGACTCGTTCCTCTAGTAAATCGCGTCTGTCGATATGTTATCGTGCACATAACTTTATATCACGCAACTCTTACATTAGCTATTTAGTGCCACTATCGATACTATTCGCTCTCATGTTTGTGGCTTATCTTACCCGTGACTATGCCAAACGTTTACTCTATTGGATTGAAACACAAAATCATTGGATTATTTTTGCCATTTTTATGCTATTATTTGTGATCGTCAGCTTCCCAATTGTTGTCGGTTATTTTGTATTAATGATCACGGCCGGTTACTTATTCGGTTGCATTAAGGGCTTCCTAACTGTGATATTGGGTGCTAACATGGGAATAGCTATTGCTCACCTAACATTAAGAAGTCTGCGACATCGTATACCAATACAAAGGTAAGTTAATATGCACAGAGAGGCGAATGTTTTTGTAACTTTCTCTAAACTCTACCTATGTCTATTAATGAAAGAACTCAAGCGACATAAAGTAACTCGCCTTTACTATATACAGTTCTGAAGACAAGGGCATTGATTAAATCAAGATTTTAATCGATATTCACGAGTAGTTGGTGATGAATCTTTCCCATGATCTTCAAGCAGTTCAAAAACTTGAACATCAAGTTGGCATACCTGGGTACAATTGCCTGCGACTGTAGACCATACCTCAATTTCGATTGATTTATGGCCGTAGCTACAGTGAGTGGGCTAGATCTGTAAAGGTATAACACTTGCCAATTGGCCACACACCTCCTACTTATTATCCTTATTATATGGTCTCTCCTTATTATCTCTCTTTCTCTCCCCAATTCTTTTTGACCATCATCGCGTAGAGGACGTCCCATGAGTGATTAATCACATAAAACATGTATGAAACACACCTATACATATATATATATATATACATATATATATATATATATATATATATATATATGTATATATATATATTAATATTAATATTGGTTGGAGACTCTATAATATTTAATATTTCGACCCGTTTCAGCCGCCCATTCACCCGGAGCTTAATGTTGAAATTTTCGCTGTCTCTAGATCAAGCTTAAAGATAACCATGATAAGCCTGTCTACAATAGCCGGCCAAATTTCTAATTCGTAAATATCACTCATCCATATATCTTACATGTTATAGTGGCTATCATTCTAAACTTCACAATTATATATTTTAAATATTCGAAGGGTCGATTTAAAGGCTTGTGCATTTCGCAACATTCAGAATTCATAAAAGCCATCGTCTTAGGTAACTGCAATTTTCTTACATCCTCCTCTTTAATTATGGAAACTGTAACAGAGTTTGCGTTCACTTGATTCATTAACAAATTCCAAAATCGAAAATTCGACAATAGCTTTAGCGAGGCTAGCGAAAGAAGGAATATCGAATATGAAAACGGTATTCGTTCCAGAACAAATCACGATAATCAAGTATAAATGTGTGCAAAACAATTGTGCTTGTTGGTGTGTCCCGGAATGTTTATATATACAGATTTCCAATTTTTATTTTATTTTTTTTATATAACTAATTACTCTGGCGATGTCCCTTATTCGCGCAATGGCATTAATGGTCAGGAGAAAGTTAGGAAATGATAAGAAAAAAAGAAATAAAGGGCGATGGCCGCCACCTAGTGGATGTGTCCAATCGATAGCTCTACAGCACTGACTTGAGACTTGAACCCGCGAACAGGGACTAATGAGCATTTCAAAGTTTAGACACTTTACCGGTAAAGGTATTTTTTTGGAGTTTTTTGTTTCCGAATCTTCAAATGTAAACATTTTTGGCAAATGTTAGATCCTAAGTTTGAACTTGAGTTTGTCTTCCATTCTTAGCTACTCTAAACATCTCATAGTAATAGATTGATCACCGTTAATATGATATTTCATTTCGTTTGGGATTGATTAACGCCTTGATGTAATCCCTATCAATAGTGGTTGGCAAGTGGAAACGAAATTTCGCGAATTGCTTTCGATCCGCACTTTCTCTTCCGCCATTTTGGCTAAGGGCATTACGGTAAAGTGTTATTGCTTTCTCCGCTTATCGGTCGACAGCAAAGCGAAATGATTAGCAAATGCTATAGGAATCTTCGAAACGGAATTTCGAGGCAGAATTTTTTTTCAATGTCCGCCCTATGACATAGATGTGTGTCCTGTTTTGAAAGATTGGTATGACCATTGTGACCAGCTGTTGTTGTTCAGCTCCGGTACTGATCATATATCGCAATGATTTCCGTTATCTCTTCTGGGATTCGAACAAAATCGAATCGCTCCGATGCAGATGGCGCGTTCTACGTGATTTTCAAGATGTTTCATCTACTGATATCGAATCTGAATTGACTATGCTAGTTAAAAAATCGAATGAGGAGAATGGTGAAAATTTTTGCATTGTCGGTCAACGTTTTCACCTTACATACGTGTGATATTATTCCTGATGAGCCCATTTTCGGTCTTGGTGATAGGAGAAGGGGGAGGAGGAGGAGGAGGAGGAGGCTTCATCTCTTGTCAACATTTATCGGCCTAAAATGTATTGTTTTTCATTTCGAAGTTTGTAAATTTCTCAGCATAAAATGAAATTCCTCCGCCATTGCCGATCATAACGAGATAAATTATATAATGAACAATTTTATGAACATTTTGATTTCTAATATAATCTACGAGGCGTACTTAAAAAAGTGTTGACTTTTTATTTTTCTCGAAAAATATTTATTTCATTACCAAATGTGATACACTTGTGCCAGGGCTTTTTTCAATTCTCGAAGCATTTCTGATAGGCGCTTTTTGGTATGGCCTTGAGTACTCTTGCAGCGATGTGGTCTTTAACAAAGGGACGGATAATGTCAAGATGTGTTGGGGGCATGTGTAGCAAAATAGCAAAAAAAAAAAAAAAAAAAAAAAAGTAAATAAATTCAAGAAATCTGAAGTTGGTGTTTTTTTAAACACACCTCGTATGACTTTAACTGTTTACACAACGCATTTAACAAAGCGTTATTTCTCGAAACAGTTTTTTAATTTGCTATTACCGCACGGTTACAGAAAGCAATTTAACACAGTTGTGTCAATTAAGTCAAGTTTACTTTGCTAATAATAAACTAGTTTCTCGTTTGCCTCAATGAGATCGACATTAAAAAATGCATCGCATTGCGAATAATCGCAATCTTATTTTTAAGGATTCCTTGAGAATTCTTTGGCCTTGAGAAGAATTATAAATTAGAATTTTTGAGCTTGAAGTATTTCTTTTAAATAGTTGGTATTTTGTTTTTTTTTGTTTTTGTTTTTGTTTAATTTATCGCCACAAATACATTTCCAGTCTCTTAGTTCTTCTTAGTACGCGCGTTCTTCAATTGCTTACGTCAATAGTTACATTTCGCTGTCTTCACATAGATACTGGATGATGGTATCTCGTCATTTATTTCATTTATTTTTGTCTCTTCTTCTTTTTCATTCTAATAATATTTGAAATATAATTTTTATATCCTCCATCGGAGAATATGTTTGGCGGGCATATTAATGCTTTCATTCTTTCCGTTACATCTGGATATTTTATTTATCAATCAATTTACACGTGTTCTTCCATATTGTGCATTTTATCAGTTTTTTCACTTTAGGCAAACTGAAATTCTTACTCTGAGATCTCGGGATGAAATGTTTAAAAATTGAGTAATTTCTACTTAGTTGATCTCATTTCCTTATACGGGATCTGAGCACAATTTTTAATTTACATGAAATGAAATCTTGACATCAATTGTGGGGGAAGCCTTTTAGAGATCAATATCTCTGCAAAAAGACTTTGCAAAACTGCGGAATTTATTTTCATTTACCGCATTCTTCTTGTACTCTGTCCAATTTGATGTTGAAACATTTCAATAAACTTTCGTCCTCCTTTTTCAAGAATATATATATATCGGCCTAAGAAATGTCGTCAAAAGAGCGACCTGCAAGTTGAATCAGAGAGATAGATGGAGAGACAAGCTTAGGTAGACAAACAATCGATATAGTAAAAGATGGGTCTATCTCAAGTCGCTGCACTTGCACGAACTTATATATATCATCTAGCACCAGTGATGTAGGGCATAACAGTGTATTTTAATATTAATCTTCTGACATTTCACTAAATATATAATCAAGAAATTAATTTTTTTTGCTTTTGCTTTACTTTACCTTTTACAGATTAATTAAAAATGAGACTGGCCGGGCGATCCTGCGTGTTATATCTGGACCTAGGGCATTTCGAGTGGTATTATTTACCAGGCTAACACCGATACCGTTTGGTATACAAAACGCTATATTCGGAGTAAGTTTTTTTCTCCTCACAAATCCAACGCACACATCCGCATAATCTCGATATACCCTTGTATCCGCATCCTAACAGATAGACTGACACGAAAAATGTCATTTGTATCGTATAATAAAAGTTCGTTTCACTTTGCGGATCAATCTTAAATCGCTTCGCAATTCGTATAACCGTTGCCATTGCGTTTGAAAGACTTCATCTTGCGGTCAATCCATGAATTCGATGTGTATTTATGTGTCTGAATGCTAACGCTGTTTGTGGTTTCAGCTTGTGACAGCTTTCGCCACCTTTCGCCACCTTTCGCCACCTTTCTATTTATTAGATGTGAATCAGGTACTTCCTTGAATCATAAAAGGAAGAAAGAAAATTGGTGCCATCGGGAGCATCATGTTGGCCTCAATGCATAGAACTTTTTTACTTAGCTTTTCATACATCAGACAATATTTAAATTCTCATAAAATTACTTAACAGGTTGAGTGTGAGAGTCTAAAAAGTCTGTAATAAATTCCGATATATATGTTATATTCATTCTCGATATATGATAGCACGATGTATAACGAAAAACCATCAGGAATGCAACAAAATGCTCCACTTTTTATATACGATATTTGAAATCATAATTATATAGAAATTGGTAGCACTTGATGGATAACTGTACGAACTAACAATAGTTAGTTTCGTACTCAGGTGATTCCCATCAAGAGGTACCAGAGAGAGAGTGACCTTTCGTTTTTATATTCAGGTACTTGGCATAAAACGAAAGCGATTACGCCCAGACAAAGAATTGGATAAAAACGATATAGAATTCGTAAGGAAGTGTATTTTTGACTTAGCAAGACATATAGGTATATATGACTTAATTGCTTTTATCCACAAAGCAAAAGGTCGGCATCACCTACATAACTATCCAGAAGTGAAGCAACGATATATAGAATCGATGGTGTACTGCGGCTTCTATAACGTGAGCCTATGTTTTTACGTAATTGTGGACAATCGCGGAAAATGAAAATTTTATTCCAAAGTGGGGTACACTTGTAATATTCAACCTGTCCTTTTTAAGCAAAAAAAAAAAAAAAAAGTCTGTTTTCATCTGACAAACGGGAGATATATATTAAAGTACAATTTCTGGAGCCGCCTGCCCAGTATGACTAATGGAGTTCAATTTAAAACCTCACAAAACTCATATGATGGACATAGAAAAAAAAAAAATGAAATTGCCTTTCAAGTACTGGTATAATGTTCTTAGAAGATAAGAAAAGTTAAAATTTATAAAACAACTAACAGCAGAATTAAAAATTAAAAATATAAAAAATTAAAGCATCAAACAATTCGCGTTAAGCGGACTTTGAACTCCAAAATTTTGTTTTTTTATGTTCAGGTTGTTTTCAGAACGGCTTAAGATAGGTCCATCTTCTATTATAAAGTCATTCTGAATTGATATAAGCTTGTCTGTCCGTCTGTCTGCCCTCTTTTCTTTTGTTCAACTCACACGCCATAATTTTTAAAATGTTTTCATGAACTTTGGTACACCGACGGACGAACGCCATTAAAAACATCAATACGTTCCGATCACATCCCATACAATGGTTTATTCATATACGAAGACATCTATAAGGCGTTATAAATAACTGTCTAAGGTAAAGTGACGAAAATGGGGTATTTAACTGTCGGCCATGGCCGACTACAATGTGTTTACTTGTTGAAAAATAAGGAATTTTTTTTTTACGATTTCTTTGTATTTAAATTAAAATTAAAAGCATATGCCATATGTTTGCTGTCTGGACTGTTATAAAATTTTTATTTTCATTTTTATTTTTGCTCGCTGCTCTCATTTCTGTCTGACATCGGAAAAAAAAAAATACGTTCAACGTAAAACGAAAATAATTTATGATCTTGAAAATGCCACTGGTTTACTTTTAGGTATTATTAGCCATATTTAATACGCTGTTTTGTCTTCGTAAAGATGGCGAAGACAAAAGAAACGTACGTAAGACGTTAACGTTACCCTCACAATATTTGATGTTTACTTGAGTTTGAGTATTTGCTCTTATTGATTATTATTAATAATGCATAAATCATTTTTTGTAGCCATCGTCTATAACTTTTGTTTTATTTACGAACGATATGAAGTTCGCTTTGTCCAAAAAGTCTCGGGAATTCTTTATTCTAAAAAAAAAACGCTCTCAACGCCGATAATAATTAGTTGTTTGGATTGATAAAGAACTGCGCAATCAGTATGAGGGCAATTTTCAAGGCGATTAATTTATTACCGAGCATATTAATAATATGCAGTTGTGTAAGTTTTTCCTGCTTGAATGAGTAGAACGCAGACAAAATTGCAGAGTGTGGAAACGTTTAGCAGGATAAAAATAAGATCTGCGCGCAAAATCTGCATATGTTTTAAAAAATGTCTATGGTTTCTTTTTTTTCCCCTACACATGTCTGCCAGTGTGTGTGCATTTACCCGCCTCACCTTATCCAAGAAGATCGCCTTGATAAGGATTTATTATACTAGAATCATTTTTCAATAGTCCTTTGCCTGTCCACGTAATTTTAAGTGTATTGAGAATCGATTCGGTCGAAGCATTTTTACAATCAACTCTCCTGGCTAACATCCCGCTTAGAAAAGAGAGTTTTTTCATATTTCTCAACAAAAATCGACGAAAGGTAGATGTAAAAAATTTGTGTCAGATTGGGATCATTTTTCGACCCATCCACTTTTAAACGAATATTCTTACGAAAATTTGAACTTTACAGGGCAACAAAGTCTTTAATTTGAAAATTAGTCTATCAATGGTATTAGTTTAATATCGGCATCCGTAGTCAGGTTGGTAAGAATCGCGCCTAGCAAGTGGATGTTCGCAGTTTCAAATCTTAGTGCGGATTAATTTCTTTTCGACTCTAATAGATGTCGTTCTCCGAACCGATGATGTCATGTAAATATTTAGAATCCACATATCACTATGATGCGTGTCTTCTGTCTATAAGTTTCTGCCTCAGGCGCATCCAGTCGACTGTTTTTTATTTAACAATTTATTTGTTCTTTATATTTTACAGATTAGCTCTATAAATCCGCGAGTATATCATACTGCAACGTTTCTAGGCTTACTTCCCGCTCAAATGATTAACGTTTATTTGGGTTCTACCTTAAGGTCAATGCACGAAGTTCTTAGTAATCACGGCACTGCCATAACTGGTTATATTAGCTTTGGCGTTGAGGTAAGAGAGTGATAAACAAATTTTATTTACACATATGTATACATATATATATATATATTCGCAGCTGTATTGAACAAAAATTATATATATATTTTATTAAACAATAACTCGATTAAGTGATAAAAACGACGCCTGTGATTAGATAATCACAGCATATACAATCAATTTTCCTTTGTTTGTGTATCGTTTTGCAGAACGATTTTTCTTACCACGATGGGAAATATTTCAACCCGTTTGAAGACATAAACTTTCCCTATTAAATAAATAAGCGCTTGGTATTCATGCTCGCAAACCTCAAGCCACAAACTCATACATCTCTCGCTTAGCACACTCTATTCGTATCGTATTGTATCGAAACCGTGTTATATAAATAGTTTTTTTTATTTCAACTAAAATATCATTGCGTACGTAGAATAGCATAACTTAAACTTAAATATAATAAAAATCCAAAAAATGTTTACACTGTTGTATCGAAATGGTGGTTAACAAGTACTATGCTAAGCGGGATACGCTTGTATTCTCCTAGATTCGCTTTAGATTAAGATCAACTCGTTTCACGAACATATTCGCTAAAGTGAAGTGAGTAATAATGTAATAGACTAGTTGTTGCAGGGTAATGCAAAAATACTGAGTTCAAGTTAAGTTAAACAGTTTCGAGTTCGCCGGCATCCAAAAGACTTTCGAAATCGGTTTTGAGAAAAGTGGATAATTTCGGTAACACTTTAAAAAATTTTAATACACAGTTTCGTCATTTTTGTCCGACACATAGTATTAAGTATGGGCCGTACTGTACAGTAGCATAAGCAAATTGTAAGGCTGCCGTCAGTTGAGGAAAGTATATCAGTTAACACACCGGATACTCCGACCAGGGATGGTTCTTACTCGAACTTGGAATAGTAAGTTCGAGTTGGAATTTTCACAGAAAACGGAAGTAGGGAGGAAAGGAATTTTAGGCTTGTTAGTTTGATCCCTTAGAGCATCAACGTTTGTCTTTAGTGAGACAAGAGTGTTAATATAGCTCAAATTTGGCTGTCTGGCTATTAAGGAATTAAGGGTAAAAGTGAAATTATTAAGGCCTAAAGTATTCTTACGAGACATGTGATAGATATAATAAGTATTGTGAATTTATCTAACGAATTATGTCCCAAAGTGTCCGTGTAGGATAAGTGCCCGACAGAGTAATAAAAGTGAAAGTTAATGAATGAATTATGAACTACCCTAATATCAGTGATTGTAAGTAAGTGGCTTTTTTAGATAAGTTCGGTTGATAATGGAAGATCAGGAAATATAAATTTTCTCGAAAAAATTTCTCGAAAGAACCGGACAGCACGCGCCGGTAACTAAATTCGTTCTTCGCAGCATCTCGACGTGTTACACCGGTTGGAAACCACTGCTTTCCTTCTTTTCTCATGTAACCCATCACTCAAGAGATTTTAACGATGTAACACGATGAGGGTAAGGAAGTGGTGGGAAATGAGCGGGAAAAAACTAAGGATTGGATTGAGATATGTTATAGAAACTCGACACTATCGACAATAACAACTTTTCGCTTGTGTGTTGATGGACACCGAAAATGGCACCGAATACAGTGAACACCGTAAAGAGGCGCCGTTAACACCGGAACATATCCTAAAACAGATTCTGAAAATTATTCTCAATAATCGAAACACGAAATTGCAAAAGGCCGGTGACGTGCTGAGAATGTCCAAAGGCAGAGTAATCATTATTTCCGACGACAATTTATCCGTGAGAAAGCCGCTTTCCAATTGCGTATAACGTTAACTTACAGAATTAACAAAACCATCATATCAACAAGGTTGCATTTTTTCTTGCTTAGTGTCGAGACTTAAATTTCTAGTTAATAAATTGAATGCATGTTGTATTGCATTGACGACTCAATCATAGATATATATATATATATATGTATATATATGTGATGATGATATATAATGATTTTATGAATCGATTTAAACTTTTCTATCTGCCTGTCTGTCTGATGTGTACTTATACATTTGCATAGAGTAAATATGAAATATATAGAATATCTGTCAATACGGATTGGGATTAAGTAAAAAAAAAATTAAATACTAATTTTGTTAGCGATACGATCAATCGAACGCTTGTCTAACATTCCCCATCAACAGACGCCGTAAACTGCGATTTTTAAAATGAATAAAAAAATGTACGGGCGGGTAGAAATTATATAGACAGACAGACGGAATGAAATGTGGTACGCCGATATGTTTTAGTTCAGAAATGAGTTGTATTGAAAACGGATTAGACTGGACCATTTTTACCATCTAAAAAGTTACTATGTCTCGAGAGAAAGCGATAAAAAGTAAATGAATGCGAAAACATTGGGTGATATGGAATCATATATGTATATTATTGCATTCCCACTTAGACAAAGGTTGATATTTGGATATTTTGGGACAAAGACAGTTGAAACGAAATTGTGTTACGGGAAAGTGATTGTAAAGTAAGCGAATTAAAGTTAAATTTTTTACTTCTTAACTTGATTTTGCTATGCTTAACTTTTGGTGCAAAGAAATAGGTTTATTTTTTGTTATACCGAGTGATTCAGAATCACCTTCTGAAATCATTTAAGCTTGTCTGTTCGTTTTACCTTTTTATGTTCTACTTGTAAGGTGCATTTTTTTGAGATATTCTGATGAAATTGGGTACACTGACGTATTTTAACTCACGGGAGACGTTATAAACGATGGTTCGAATCGATGGGCGTGTTCGAACACTTCCCACATATAACCCAATATTTGGAAAAGTTTTGATATGAATAACTGTAGCAGTGGAGTAGATTATTTAATGATGGGCCGTGTCCCACTATAGACTTACACTTGTTTTATAATGCTTGACAGGGTGATAATTACAGATTACCTCTCGGAAAATGATTTTATTTGAAGTTCCAATCATTTATTGCATTTTTTTTATTGCAGGTGATTTGCGGTGTAGTTTTAATGTGTTGGGTCGTGCATAAGGCCCGTAAAGAATTGTCGCAAACTTTACTCACGGATATCAGTAATGATGGTAAATTAATTGACATACAAGTGTAGCGAAACGATCAAGTGAAACGGCTTAAACGAAAAGAAACTAACTATACACAGGTGGCTTTTAAAAAAAAAACTCACAAAAAAATGTTTTTTTTTTTATTTTTATTTTTATAAATTTAGGTAAATAACATAAAAAGCCTCTCGTCAGGGCACTAAAGAGATGCGTGCGTGTGCATGCGTGAGTGCATGTCTGCTGTGTGTTTGTGTGTATGTGTATATGTGTGCATGTGCGTGTGTATGGCTATGTAAGTTTGCACGTGTGTCTACGCTTTTATTAAACAAAATTATTGTTAAAAATAAATTAATTATATGCTAAGCTAAATTATTAATGTGTAAAATGTATAATTTTTTTGAAAACACTTTACAGAACCTACGTTATTTTTGAAATATTTATTTATTATTTAAAAACACAAATATATGTATATATTATATATACATTATATATATATACACACCTAACTCTTTTTTTATACTGTGGATAAGTTTCTTATAAAACCGTGTAAAAATAATCGTGGAAAAATATGCATGCGACATATGGTAAATTTGGGGATATGTTGCATAACTTTAAAAAATCGTCTAGAATGAAAAAACTATAAATCTTTTCCAAAAAAACTGTGCAAAAAAGTTCATATTAAATGTTCGTAAAACAATTCTATTCTATTATAAAAAAAATTTAAATTAGTGTACAGTGAAAATATGAACATTTAAATTAAAATTACGAATAAAAATCAATTTCGCGACTACGCATGGACGTTTATTGCGGATGGGAGATGCTATCATCAGTAAATAAGTTAAGTATGTCTAGCACAAGTGTCGGATTCGATCCAAATAAAGAATGATTATAAAATTCTAGTATTCTCCGTAAGACACTATCACATGTGTGGGCATAAATCGACCGACTTCTGATTGCGGCATTCCTCCATTGGTGAGAGTTATGATTTTTCAAAATCGATTAAGCAAAACGGTGTAAAAAAAGAGTTGGGTGCATCATATACATATATATATATGTATATATATATATATATATATATATATATATATATTATTACATATATTCTTGATGATATTATTTATATGAAAAAATGTGAGGAAAAAAAAATTACATTTGTTTGTTTATTTAAAGAGCATTTATTTTTTATAAAATAAAATCGAAAATAAAAAAAGTGAAAAAGTCAAAAATAGTAAATAATAAATAAAACTCTTATACAAATGAAATTAAAATGTTTTTTAAGTAAATGCTGTGCCTGAAATACAAAAATAATCGAACTGCAATTGATTATACAAGCTGTATTAACAAAAAAATAAATAAATAAATAAATAAATAAATAAAAATTGTAGTAATAAATTTCAACAGAATTATTAAATCCTCGCTTCTTTACATATTTGTTTATTTTAACGTGACCAATTAACATTCTAAACTCATTTCATCAGTTTTGCATATATATATATATATATATATTTGTGGTCTACAATACGCACCAACAAAATAATCTTTTGCACTCTCTTATATGCTTAAGGATCGTTTTCATAAAAAAAATCAACTGGAAATTTGAGAAATTTAACTTTCAGTTAAGGGTAAATCCATTTCCCGTATGCCAGTTACACTATAGATGATATTTTAATCTAACTGGAAGGTGAATCAGCTGATAAACAGAATCATATTAAGAAACGAAGAATAGGGGTTTACAAACGTGTTGTAAATGCCGATTATACTGCGTACAACTTCGACAATAGCGCCGTAGCCAACCATGTAAGTGGTAATCAGTACGTGTGGTTGTGAGAAAAACTTTTCTGAGGAAAACATTCATAACCGATAACAAGTATGAAAATTATGTTCGGATGTGACCGAATCTTTTGCACATATCACCGTTATCCTGAAAAAGACTAAAGAAAAAGATTAGAACTACATCCTCATACTTTTTATTGTGTGCGAGGCCGTTTTTTTCCCATTTTCGGAGTAAAAGTAAAAATTTGTATGGTGCATGCGTTGTACTCTAAGAAGAACAAGCAAAAAAAAAAAAAAGAAGAAAATTCAGGTGTTGCATAACCGTGTGGGCGTTGTTGGCGCGTCCCTGACCGATTTAAGTCATTTTCAAATTGTTTTACAGATTTGTAGACGACATTTTAACTCGTACGAACGAGAGAATGTTTACCACAGGTTCTACACAGTTGGCCAGACGGACAGACGCACAGTCGTGGAGATAGACATGTTTATATGCTTTCCAAAGCTGACACTGCAGGCATGATCAATTTTTCGCATTCTTGCACATGCCCGTCAGCGTCAGTCGTAAAAGACACGTTCAAATTTTTGTGGGCTTACCTGTTGTAGTTTATGAGTAATGAGCCAAAAAACAATTTTTTATTCCTTTGGAAAAACAAAGTGCACTCAGTTTACATGGTATTGTGGGCATGTCTTTCGACCGGTTTAGACGATTTTTAATGTCAGCCAATGTTCTAGTATTTCTGCCAAAGTGGAAGACGATGGCCGAGAGGATGTTTGCATTGCACAGATGGACAGACGAACATGCTTAAATTGATTCAGAATGTGAAGCTGTTGGGGAACATATATGTCTCTGAACGTAGCAAACGTTTTGACAACATGACCATACCCCCCATCCTTCGGTAATAGATACAAAAATTCAATCACAATAATTGAGATAAGATGAGAAAGCAGTTAAGAGTGCGTTTTCAACAATCGGTCTATTACTAAACATATTGAAAACGGCTGTAAGAATGGACAAACTAAACCGATTATTGTGTACAAGTCCGGTGTGCGTAAACTGGTTCCTTAATATAGGTTGTTGTTATTGAAAGGGCACATATTGATTGCTTCGTGTAGTTTGACTAATAAATCTTTCATAATTTTCTAAACAAAACAAAAAGTTTGATAACTACATCTGCCATAACATAGTGTACTTATAAGCACAGTCTTTTTAAAGAAAAAAAAAAAAAAAATGATGAAGAAATGTTTGCAGCGCCTAAAAATATATATCGAAAAGCCCTATAAAGTAAATATATCGTTATCAGCCTATTCAGCCAAAACATTGTAGATCGATGCTTTGCCTAGAAGAAAAGCCTTGATCTGTAACTCTCGCTGTTCACATCGGACAAGTTCAAATCAAAAATCGATTAAATCAAAAAACGCGCCCGATATTAACAAAAAAAAAAAAAAAAAAAA